TCTGGCATGTTAAAGTCACCACATATAATTTTCGCTGTGTGTGGTAGTGTTGCCACACGGGCGAACACGCTTGTTAGCTTGTCGTCGTATTCGACTGAGGAGGAAGGGGGCCGGTAAATGCATCCTATTAGGAGGGAAGTGGAGCGAGTAAGTTTTGCGATAATCCATACTGAGTCGTCAATCTCGTTTAGCTCAGATGTAGGGCACTGCGTAGCAGTGATGTCAGACTTTACATAGATAATGCACCCTCCTCCCCTACCATGCAGTCTATCCTTCCTGAACAAGGAATAGTTGTCAATGGAGATCTCTGCGTCGCAAATATCATTGGTACACCAAGTTTCTGTAACCATTATCACGGACGGACCACTTATCAGAGATAGCAGCATAATCTCTTTCATTTTGTTGCGTATAGAGCGGGCGTTAATCAGGCAAAACGAGAGCGAGTTAGTACAAAAGTGTTTAGATATATCTCGGAGAAAGTCAGCACTTTGGTACGTTTCTTGGGGGTCCTTTGCGTACATCGTGCTAGCGATGTCATGACCTTTTGTACAGGGTGACGATTCGGTACTGTTTACCTCGGAAGGAGCGAGGTATTCACTACATTGTGATTGGTATAGAGACTGTTGGTCAGGGTAGAGAGCAGATGATCCGACAGCATCCGAATCACCTGCATTACTGGTGGCGTTGCAGCCGTAGGCTGTCCGAAAAAACCCTGTTCATAAGAAGTAACGGGGATTGATAAGTTGTATGGCACACCTATCCGCTGGTTGCCGTATGCATTATGCTCATAGCCAAATTCATACTCCCCAAGATTTTCTTCAGGGGATCTATTGTAAGTTTGTCCTCCTGTGACCCACTTTTTGCAGCGCACGGGTGAGGCGGAGAGCATAGTCTGTGACCACCATTCGGCTCCCTATCCAATAACTGTGACCGTTGAGGGGTCTGGCCGTGGTGTGTGTCGGCTAGTGGCCGCGGAAGTGCTAAGGAGTGTGGGTCGCCTGGAGAGTAGTTATTCGACTTGGTCATAGGATGACCTGAGAAATAACGTTTGGCGTTTTCTTTAGTGTGGCTTTGCGAGGGTGAAATGGTCTTTTGGCTATCCTATTGCTTCTTCGTCTATTGGCCTGGCTGCTTAATTGCTTTTTCGGCAATTTGCTTAACCTAAGTGGATTCATAGTGGGGTTTGTATAAGAGTGTCTAGTGCTATCTGCACTTTTTCATCTGCCCGTTTGATGCATAAAAGTTGTGCACTGGCTGGAGTAGGGGTAGATTAGACTGTTTATGCGCTGGGCTTTCGGACGGTCCTATGGTAACAGGGTGCTTGTGGCTGGTGCTGGGTATGTTTATGGGCTGAGTGACACCTGGTGACGACATAGTAATGCCTTCGGCATTTTGTTGGGTCGATAGCGTGGCACTCGGTTTGGGGTGACCTGTGTGACGGAGTGGGATGAGGGTTGGCTTTCCACTTCTGCAGGCAATGGGATCACCTTTACGAGATCGTGCGCCTGTTTTCGAGTGTAGTTCATCGATTTGTCCAAGCCTACAGTCGTGTCACCGGCTCTACCATGTCTGTGTGTGAGAGGGCTAACTTGTGGGCTTTGGTGTTCCTCATTCCGTTGTTTTGGCACAGTAACCAGTTCACTGATAGATTGTGTTGTTGTTTTGGGTACCAGAGCTTGACTAGAATTTGCAGCTTTTGGTATTTTCGTGCAGCTACGTCTTTGACAAGGTGTTATGTCTTGCGGGAGTTTGGCACTTGGTGTGAATACACTAATAAGTTGCTTGGATGATAGGAAGTGTCTGGCGGGGTAACGGCCACTAAATTTGAACAACGAGAGGTAGGTATATTTCCTCAACTTCTTGCGGAGACGGGTAACTTGGCATTCTGCAGAAAATATGTTACAAGCCTGCAGACATAAAGCTCTTACTTGTTTGATCTATTCGTGGTCGGGTATGTTGTATACTAATACATTATGTGAGGACATGATCCTTTCATTAACCTCTGTAGCAGTGAAATCCAGGACACTTCCCATTTTCAATAAGGTTTCAGTACTGGCTTCTAGATTAGGCTGACACAGACGCAGCAGTGGCAGAACAACTTCAAGCTTAGCGTTCATGTCTTGTAGTGACTTCTGGAGGGTTATCAAGTCTTCCTTGTTTTTACGCGAAGTGTTATATAGCTCCGGTATGAGATCGACTACCTTAACTTCAGGACCTCTTTTAGGGCTTGATGTCGAACCACTTAGTGAACGTGCTCTTTTAGTTGAGACGCTAGGGTTGGGTTTAGGCGTATATACAGCATATATAAGTTTGTTAGGCTGGACCATGGTGGAGCACTATTAGTTACTCGTTTATTGGGTTCGTCAATACCGAAGAACAAGTAAAGTAACCAGCAGTCACAGAAGGTTTAGCAACGACTTATGTATCAAATATGACAGTTGCTAGCAGGTGTTTCTTTACACCTCAGGCAACGTATATTGCGAAACTATTACGTCTCGAAGCTAACAGCGTTGATTCGTAACTAAACAAAGTGTCACAGACAAATAACTTTTCTTTAAGTTAGTCCTCGCTGTGGTTTCCCTGTTTTCTTAGCAGTAGTTTCTTGGGTTCCGCTGTGTATATCAAAATGGGTCTCTTTAACGCTCCAGAAGAAATATATGTTGCCCAGAAATACCACGTTATGCAGGAGCAACGTAACGTAGCTTTTGGTTCTCAAAAGTACCAAATCGGACGACTGGTAATGCTAAAGTTGTAGTATAACAGATCACGTGCAAATGTAACGCAAGTTACTAACTCACCGCCGATAACGTGACTGGGCTGATCATAAGGCATTATTATATCATAGAAGGACATACTGGTACTTCACAAGTCCTGGACACTCTACGAAAAAAATATTCGATAACTAAGGGGATCAGTGCGGTGAAACGTGTGATAGGAAGGTGCATAGGGTGTCGACGATTGAAGGCTGCAATGGATCAGCAGATGATGGCCCCTTATTGATCTGTCACGTGCAGAAAGGATGGTTTTGCTCCTCGTCAGTGGGAACTGATTATTTTGGACCACTCACGGTTTGCCAGGGAAGGAGAGATGAAAAAACGGTACGGGTGCGTGTTCACTCGTCTTCGGGCGCAAGCCATACATTTAGAGGTAGCTCTCAACCTAGGCACTGGTGCCTTCATAACGGCTGTAATGTGATTGGTGGGAAGAGGAGGAACCCCTACACAGATATACAGTGATAGTGGTTCTAATTTTGTTAGAACAATCCCGGAACTGAGGCAACTAGTGGGTGTGTGAGATAGTCGGTGAATCGGTGATGCTATAGTGATAAAAGGAATATGATGGATTTTCAAGCCCCCACAAGATAGTAATCGAGGTGGAACATATGAAGGGATGATACGGTTATTGATGGTTGTATTCGAAGAGCAGACTCTGCGTGGTGATGCATTAGCAACCTACTTCATGGAGATAGAAAGAATTCTGAACAATCGTCCTATTGTCCCCATGACGGCCGACCCAACAGACAAGTTAGCTCCCATCCCTAATATCTTACTGTTATCGATAGACAGTGGAGAAATAGTTGTGGGGGATACTATTGCCGATAAGTAAGTGAAACGTTGGAAACAAGTTAATTACTTAGATGAAGTATTTTGGCGGCGGTGGATGAAAGAGCCTTTACCACGTCTGCAAACTCATCAGAAGTAGTCGGGAGAGAAAAGAAATTTCAAGGAAGATGTGGTGCATGTGGCCTCTGAAAAAACACCACATGCCCTTGGAAGTGATCGAAGCGTGCGAGAAGGACGAAGACGGTCTAGTAAGAACAGCGAAGGCGCATATGAGGTAAGGTACCGTGAAAAGAGGCGTATGAAAGCTTTGTTTCCTTGAGGGAGTGAAAAAAAACTAGAGTATGGAGACAGCTGTGTAGAGAGAGCCACGGCTGAATGCATTGAGAGGTGTTTTGCGTGTCTGAAAGGATTTTGGAGGCCGTAGTAACGGAAAATTGATCTGAAAATCCCTCCCGATCACCCCATTCGATAGTACTGATATTTATTTGAATATTTTTGCCCTCGTCATGGATGGTGTACCCCTGGCCCCAGCCGGTGTAATGTCATTTGGCTGTTTGACTGTCTCCTTTGACTTTTTGCTTAGTATTTGTCTTTGTATGATTGAGACTTATCATGAATGTTTCACCCTCCTATTGTATGACGCTGGACTGTTGACAAGGTGATATTGTTCTACTGCGCCCGATATTTTGTTTTGGTTCAACTTACGGTTGTACTGTGATTTGACTGTTTGTCTTTCGACTGTCTACTGGAGACGTTTATTTGTTGATTTGATTCTAGTAGACAGGGTTTCGGTCCATTCTGTCGGGAATATTCTTATTGACTGCCAGGTACCTAACAAATGTACTTGTTCAACCAGTTTTTACCGTATAGTACGCATTTGCACCCAAGGACGTTTGGACTGTATAGTTACCCAACGGCACTGTTGAGGCATTTTTGTAATTTGATATAACTTCTTGTTGCTTTGATGGTACCACAGATTTTGTAACGGATCTGCCACTGATCTACTACGATCCATGTTTTGATATTTTGATCCGATTTTTGACTGCGTCACTCGCTATACAGTAGAACTCAGGAACTAGCCAGATTCGCGTTGGTCGGCGCCACCTAGTTATTTCCCGCGTTCGGGCCAAGATTATTGGATTTCGGCTGCTCCATCCTCCGCTTATCGCGAAGCAAAATGTGACTGTAGACCGCAGAAAACAGCGCTCGTTAGCCACTCGGATTAATCTCTCATACACAGCAAAAAGGAACTGCTTTTGGCATGCTGCGGTGATCAGAAACGGGGTGAATTCCAACGGCTATGACAGATGACGGCCATTTATTTAACTTAGAAATCTTAGCGGCTAAATCATTCGATGAGACACAACAGCTGCTGCACTCAGGATTTCTAATTGTTGCCCATAGTCGTAACATGAAGTGAGAATAACCTAGGGGACTATGAATACTTCACAAAATAATCAGCATGGAGTGCACTTTTGGGGAAAGGTATAAATGCATCAATGAACAAGTAAACGACTTATTCTGAAATTATGCACTACCGTTAATACTTACACTGCAGACGATTTCTCATCGGTTCATGCTTGGCTTAGTATGAACAAGTTTCTTCGATGACATTTTCCCGATTTAATGCACTATAGGAAAAACATCCTTCCTATATATTTCACAGCATCTCAGAGTCGGGATCAACGTGAAATCCACTGTGCTGTTTAATCATCATACAATATAAAACGAAAAAAGGCAAAAAGGAACAAATAAATTATCACTCTGTCCCCATACAGTCAATAATAAATTCTTTGGTTGGAAATATCAGCCTAATTGATAAGAGGGATCAGCGAGTAACGAATATTGCACACCTACAGCAATCTGAAGCTACTCCAAACAAAAGGGTCCGGAAGAACCTGTTTGCAAGAGTCAGATCAAATGCCAGGAATGCATGAAGCGGAAAACCAAATGAAAACCAAAACAATAAGGGCTTCCTATGCCGCCTTGAACATAGTAAAGCAGCGGCGAAGGTAAAACAAAACCTCAGGCACGACAGGTTGCAGTCGAAGAACCTGGATTATACGATCAGTCGGTCAGTCTTTTTCCAAATGTCTGAATGGGTACATTCAATGTATTGAAATATAGTTTTGTCAAAATTGGGAAGCTGCTACATGTGCTCCTACGGGTTTAAGCAACACCGAAAGTAAGAAAGCAGGGCAGGAAGGACATGTTTCAATGCAGGGGCAAAAGATTGAACCCTCTTCCGTGCTGGCTAAAATCATTTCTCAGTGACCGCACCCGAATAACAAAAATCAATTCAGCTCTGTCTGCCCAAGATACATCACAAATGGAGTTGTATAAGGCGGCGTTCTCGGGCCCCTTTTGTTTATTATCTACATTCGCAGTGTTTGCAACTGCTTTGCCACAGGTGACTACTTTCCATATGCCAACGACCTAAAAGTCTTTTACTCCTCCCATAGCCATGAGCTAGGTGACACTGTGACTGCAATTCGACATGAACTGGAAAAGCTTTCTTCTTGGTGTGCTGATACCCTTCTACAGTCTAACGTCAACAAATGCGGATGGGTCTGCATTGGTAACAGTAACCTTGACTTGATATTTAAAGTATCGGGACAACAGTTATCAAAACTTAGCTCTCCCTCGGACCTAGGGCTCAGATATTCCAGTGACTTGAATTTCTCTGAGCAGGCAGCATAGAGCGAAACTAAGTCACGCAGACTGCTGGGATTCATCATTCGTGACTGTTATAGTACTGAACCAGAGGTCGCACTCTACAATGTATGCATCCGTCCAATTCTAGAATACTTATCATTTGTCATAAGCGGCTTTCGACTAGACGACAAACTAAAAATCGGAGGGATACAAGGCCACTTTACACTAAAAAGGCTAGGAGCCGACTGAAACCTTGACTACATCTCCAGATGCAACGTGCTAGGAGTAGAACCTCTATGGAAGAGAAGACTTGGAATGAACCTTATACTTTATTACAAACTACTTTGTAAGCAAATGCACTCATGCCATAATCATGAACAACTGGCTAAAACTGAGTGTTGTAAGACCAGTGTGCGGGGTAATTTCTTCCTCGATAAGTTCTCTCACATCTGGAATAGATTTCCCGAGGAAATACGTACTGCAAGTTCCTTATCTGTCTTTCGTTTCTCGCTTAGTAAGCTACTCACAGATGACAAGTCTATCACTCGTTTGGTCACTATGTATGTTTTCTGGGCTAATTAAAACATACAAGGACCCCTAAAAGTGTAGAGTAAGGCTATCATCAATCCCACGTATTTTTTTCCTAGTGGGCCCTAACATTATTGCACGGGGCGGTTGACTGCCATTCCGCTGGCTCAGGTTATGTAATCAGTAAAGCATATATCACCTTGATCTAGAGTCAGTTTTACCCTTACGCCCGCAAATAAACATGTTATATCCAAAAGCGTAGGAAAATTATAAGAGTCGTTTTTATATGCATAAATTAAAGCGTACATATAGCGCTAGCGTCTCAGAGATATGAACTTCTCTCTTCCCAGTTTCTTCTTGTGTGATTTATCATTCTCCGGTTTCTGCCAGTGCCTTCCTTTTCTCCTTCTCTTCTGAGCTTAAGTTTGAAGAGAAAACCTTGAGCATAATTTTGACCGAAACTGTCAACCTACCGAATATACTACTTCATACTTGATACTAGAAATTATTGGAAAAATCCTTCATCTGGTCCTCCCCTACTGATTTTCAACTTTCTGAAAGGTTCCACAGCAAACTTGTCTAGTTACCAACAGCCTAGATGCAACCACGTATGAAAACCGAACTACAATAAATGATTTAAGGCTTTTGGGCGGTCACAATGGCAGCAAAAATCTGGACAAACAACTAAATCTAAGAAATAGACTCACCTTGTGACTCAAAATGAGACATGTTTACAAACAAACTTCTCCAGTACTTCACCTCATCTGACTGCGTTTTATAGAAGACAATTAGCAGTCAACATACCTCCATGATAACGCTGTATGCTTCAGTGTGAATTCTGTTTTGCAAAACTCCACCACCATCGAATAATAGTCCTTCAAAAGTTTATTTCTTCGAACATCAACAACAACTCAGTCCGATGGATTACATCTTTATTGCTGGGCATGGTGGCACTACGAGTGGGAAGTGTGAAGACTTGTATACTCACGTGAGTTATATGGTTACGGTAACACTTACTGTTACCTGAAATCGATGAAGTAAGTTTTCGTTGGCCAACGATGCTATAAACATGCTAACTGATGTCAAAATAAACGCTTATCTGACAAAACGCGGAGCTATACCGTCAGGTTAACCGCCTAGGTCACATGTAACACAAACGTCGAATATTGTACGACTTTGGTATCACTTTATTGTGTAAAAAGAACAGTGAGTGGAACCAGCCGAAAATCGCGAACAATCTGTGCGTACTGTGAAGTGACATTTTTTGTTCTATTCATAACCTGTAGTCACTTTTATTGCCATCATAAACCGAGGTGCGATACCTTCTATATCATTCAGGACAGCTCAACTACCGGAGATTTCTTTGCCATTATCCATTTGATGATGCTTGTAAACTGGCTTCTGGCATGTTGAACTGCTAATTTAAGAATAAAATATTTATCTGTTCATTATTTATTTACTTACTGCGCCTGGACTGATGTCTGTTGAAATCGGACGCCTCAGGCGTCCGACCGGAGTACTACGGACGTGGCGTCTGGCGCTATGGTGAAAATAGACCTGAATCACCGGGACAACGGCAAACGACTGCCCCTTTCCTTAGAAGGGCTGCCATTACTGTGCACAGGCGTGCAGAAATCTCGAGCCATGACCCTAACTCAATTATGGCCGTAGAAGTAGACGGGGGAAATCCATTGGAACTGCTCAATACTTAACAACTTTCACTACTGTCGGTCACCCCCAACACACCCAAGAGTCTCTCCATGACAGTGTAAGGGGACATAGATGAAAGGCGGTGGAGCTACGATCTCGCTCCGAAAACTGTAATTCTGAATGGAACTTGGCCGTCCTCGAATGTTGGTGACATTGAAGAGAATAAAGGTGGTATGTTTCCGCTCAGGAGAGACGGGAAACATGAGATGGGAAGAGTTGCAGTGTTTGCAGGCCGGCTGTTCAAAAGTGGACAAGCTATTTATTAGGCTCTCAGACTCTGTTTGGTGCCACTTTTCAGTCAAAAACACCGCGTATTTGGTGATAGAGGCCTGCGGCCCACCCGCTGGCGGCATGGAACTGAACTCATGACCGCTTCCAAGAATACTCCCGGTGACAAAATGAGCCATGATTAGGCTGTCTACCAGGGGACTTTGGCTCCTCAACCCTCAACTTAAGGCCTGAAAGCGCTACCTGGTTTGCGCCTGCCGAGGGCGAACCGAAAGGCTGGAAAATATTAGAATATTGGTGATGACGCCCTCTGGGAGTCAGGAGGAAATCCATAAAACTGAACCATCTCCCAACTGTCGACTCTCTGCCACCAAAACATTTTCAGGTTAAAGCCCCTCTCAATGGCAGCGATCACATCATGGTAGCGTTTGATCTGGTAGCCCGAGAAAAACTATAATTGGAGGAATCTCTCTCTTGCCATAACAAGGTAAATCACCTGGCGATGAACCGGTATCTGTCGACAGCCTCACTGCCTCCGGAGCGGAGTTCCTCATCGATCGACCACAACAGGGAACTAGAGAGGCATATCACAGGCAGGACTATCTCTAAAAGCGTCTCTCTGCTGGGAGCGGCACCTGGGACGTGAACATCTAGGCTAAAACGAAACACTGAACCTCCCCTGAAAAACAAGGGCAAGCCTGGTACAAAGGGAGGCACTGGAGGGAGGGGTCAGGTGATGGTGAAGATGTGACTCCAAGGGGTAGATAAAACATTTTCATAACATTTAGACACTTAATATCATGATAGAGTCTGATGTGCTCCCTCCGTATCATTCGATACCTCTAAAACCTCTTATGTTTCTCTGCGGGCGTCAATTTGATGAGGCCTGTAAACTGGCTTCTCTCGTGTTAATTCACAACTTGAGAATAAGGATATTTATTTATTTATCAATGTGGGGGATGGGAGCCTCTTCCAGACAAACCCTGCCCAGAAGCTTAAGGTGAGTCCCGAGAAAGTACATCGATTTATGGCGGAGATAAATTTATATCGTGAAAGGCTCAAGTGGAGTGAACCCATCCAGACTGCGGGTTGACGAAACTCCTAGAGTCATATGTGACGCACAAACTAACGTTCCATCACTCAGTCAGACCCACTGACTGCCAGGATAACCCTCAACATTAACAAACGTAGAGATGTTGGTTAAACCGCAGGTAAATCCTTCTATGGTCCACGACAGGGGAAAATCCTAAGGATGCGAAGGTGTTCGTCCATCTATGATAAAACTACGTGTGGACACTCTATGTGGCCCGCTGTAAAACCTTTAAAACACCCCTTTGAAAGATACAAACTCCCATGGAAGCGAGAACTTCCTCTTCTCTCTCCCCCCCCGGATCAAAAGGAGAAGACGGGTGGAAAGCGAAGTGCCACTGACCTATAGCATTTTTACCAGCCCTTCCAAAATTAATGAGAACCTGATGGACGACTAGATATGGCAATACTTGGACGAATATACAACGCTCTGGCACCCTGTGACAAATGGACAGCATTTTGGGGGCTCTAGGCCTCGCCTTGTTCTATTTTCCGGGATCTGCTCAGATCGCACACATGAACTAGGTGGGCAGAATAGTAAGTTTTGACACCAGCGATCAAACACCATCGTGACTGAAGGAATACTCAGACAGTAGGGGATTCGGCGCAAGTCTGCAGGGATTGCCCGATTTGCTGGTAACTGGAATTCCTCCTCGTTATTCTGGATCAAATGGACCTGCCACCGTTGTCGTATTCGCTGCCGTAAGGATGTCCCGGTGTTGCACAACTATTCATCGTGCTTTAAGCTGCCTGTTGGTGGCTTGTGTGACGCGCGTTTCGTCGAGTCTGGAGCTCACTGTCTGAATCTGCCCACAACCCATTAAGGGAGGTTGTTCTCACGGAGTTTCCGATTGAGTACACATCGCTTCAAAAGCCAAGGCATTCTCCTCAACAATAAAAAAATAGGTGACGCTGAGGCGCCCGCACAGCAGACCATGTTTTATCTGTTTACTCCGGAATAACAACCGGGAATGACAGGTGTCAATAGGTGCCAATAACTGATGTCCGCTGCACGCGAAGTAGCTTTCGTAACTCAGTGGCCTATTGGACAACACCTTGGCGTTTGAAACGATGGGCGTGGGGTTCGAGTCTCAACGGGGAAAATATCACTCACATCCAGCTGACGAGTCCTAAATGCGATTCTATCGTCAGCCAGTGCAAAGCAAATTACAACATAACATCCGCTCAGTTTGGAGAGCATCACTGTCCGGAGCATTGAGGGGAACGTTTCTTAGCCGTTGTTAATCATACTTTTTAAATGACTTTTAATCGACTTCCAGCCCTCCGACCCTCCTTAATGGTGACCACGCCAAGCCATGGAGGTCCTCCGCATGTGAAAGAGAATAGGGCTTGCTGGAAAACAACCTCAGAAGGCTCAGAAAGAGGGTGAAAATCAAGGGACCATAATTTAGCCCGGACAAATGCCAGACTGTTTTTCGTACCACCGATTGACAAGAAATATTCCAGTCACCCTGTTGTGGGCACCCCCCTCAGGTGACCACGAAGAAATACCTGAGACTGATAGTAACCGGCAAAGTAAGCACTGTCTCAAACTTCTTCAGAGACACCTCCAGAGCCCGAGCGGTGCTAAACTTCTGGTGCAAATAACTAGATATCTTCACCCCAGAACTCCCTTGAAAGTTCCACGGGGCTGTATACGACCTCATTAACAGGCTGAAGACGCCATCGCACCAACACAACTGAAGGGGGATTCGAAAATCTGGTGAAGTCCGGAGGTGAGCCACACAGACCCATATGGGTCTCGTTCATCCTGATTGGATATGGTGTGGGCGGAAATAACTAACAGATTTCTCATCACTCCGAGTTAAACACAAACCATCTGTTTTCTACTCCCACTATCATCATGAACCCGACTCAGTCTTATGACCCCTTATTAAAAGTTTTACCCTTCCAGCCACAGTACCATTAATGATGCCATTACTTTAATCTCCGTCGTAACTTTCTCTCTTATTCACTCTCTTCTCTCACTACGCTGGTCACTTTCCCCAATAAAAATGCATTTCGCAGCCTTCGAAATTCACAGGGTTTTCCTTTCTTCAGCCTGTCCCCTCTCCCTGTTATTCTTATCTGCCTTTTAATTCGCCTTTCGTGACTAATCCAAACGACTTCCTGGTCACATGAAGTTGGAGGAGGCCATCTGCGACGCGGTCTCAGAACGAACCAAACACCACCCTAAGTATTTTGCTAACACCGAAAAACCTATTGAGTCCACCACGTCTACAACAGGGTAGTAGGCGCATCTGCTGTATTGAAATTCCTCAAGAGACCGATGCGGGCACAAAGCAGTCTAATGATTCATACCTGCCTTCAAGACGGATATTGGTTCTAGTAAGAAAGGCTATTCGCTTTCAGCTATCTCATTTTTGTTGCTTAAGATATCCAATAGCTTTCTAAGGGCCTGCAAAAGCCGATGATAGGCCGGCGATTTACCGCGCTGAATATGAGGTAGCTAACTCTCCAGTTGAAGAATTCCGAAATAATTTCTGTTAAATGGAGGTGACAACCACACACCAGGCGGAATCTCGTAATGCAGAGGGGTTGATTTATACCGACTCTGGGCTCTTCTTGAGATCAGGGAGACCTTAGAGGGTTTAAGTTCCCATAAGCCCTCAGGAACTCATGACGTTCGCCCTAGAACACTCCAACAGTGTTCGCACGTTCTGTCAGTTCTACCAGCAAACCTTTCCAGGCATACCTTTGTAGAATCCAGAATGCCTTTTGACTGGAGACGAGTAGCTATCATTCCGATTTGCCTCGAATGATACAGGTATTTCTTTGGTCTCTTCAGCTACAAAGGTTATGGGACGGGTAGTTAATGACTTGTTTCGTGACCATTTACCTGGGATCTCACCCACAACTGAATGTTAACACAGATTGCTACCTGGAAGGTCGTGGGATCACAACCCGTTGATAACATGAAATAGTCAGACTCTCTCCGTTGAACGTAAAAAGCCCACTCATACCGGACTGAAGGACTTTTATAACCCTTTTGACGAAACCGTTCATACCTACTCACCGATCGCCTTGTCACACAATGCTGACCGAAGTATGTCCAGGCTGTAAAAAGGCCCGAGGTGGCCGGGCTAAAGCATGGCGTCTATGCACGAGGTCTCTGACGGTCAGTTTTAGCCATGCGGGGCGATGCAGACTGGGTGGTTGGGGTCCACGGGACAAGAGGAACCAGTGGTCGGATACTCTAGGGGATATGACCCAGAACCGATGTCAGTGGCGAAGATGTATACGTGCATTGTCCTCATCTTAACAATATGCCGATTCTCACTATTTTGTCATTCTCCCTTTCTTTCTTACCCTACTTCGTGTTGTGTCTGAATTTTCGTATCTCCATCTTTTACCTCACTACCTTTCTACCTGATGTGCTGATACGGGCTGTGGCAACTCGGACCATTACTCAGTAATGCCTAGCCCCATGTCGACATTGATGACGATGATGATGCAAGAGACTTAGAAATTCGGGGGCGCACGAAGGATCACTAAGTCGGCTTGGGGAGTATCTTAACAGTCAGTAACCGTCAGTTGGGGTGGCATTGTCCTCATCCATGGGGTTTCCGGTGTATCAAAGTCGCGTTCTTGGTCAACTATTGTTTTTGCCTTTGTAAATGAACTACCACTAAGCCCGAGTTCTCCTTCACTTTCGCATGCCGATGACCTCATAGGTTAGGGGTAGGTACAGAGGCCAGGATATCTCGGTTCTGCGTGAAGACCTGTCTAAAATCTTAAATAGAACATGTGAAAACTTGCCGGTTCTCAGCTCGGAGAAGTATAGGTTAATGGTTGTAAACAAATATAAACATAATTATATTTCCCACTCCTTGGGGAAACAAGTATCCTTCACACAACCACTGAAGAAAGTCTAAGGGTTACTCAAACTCACACACTTGGTGCTTCTATCCAACGCTGTCTTTCAGCCAACAACGCATATTGAGTCCTAGGGCTTCTTTCTTGAACTTTACGGATTCTAACTCTGACTCTTTTCATCATAATATCAGAAATTATATGTTCATCCCCATCTGCAGAAAAGCTAGCCAATTACGTCTCTAAACTAGAAGAAGGACACTAGCGCCCTAGAACAGGTTTGGAGAAGAGCTACGAGGAAAGTGATTGAACTATGAAGCAGACCTTATATGGACTGCCTAGTTCAGATTCAGATTTGTTTTTTGGGCATAGGAGGCTGCGAGCCTATATTAATCCTATTCCAGTAGACTTCTGTGCCTGTCCGATTCCCTCTTAAACAAGCCTACCGATGATGCGGACACCACTTTTTTAAGAGTCTATCCCAGGCGTTGATTACTCGACGCGAGGACCTGTACTCTGCGGAGGCTATGTTCGTTCTTTGCTTTTGTAGTCTCCTACTATGTCCTTTGAGGTGTTCCGACCTAGTGGGAAGGAAAAGAGAATATGGCTCAGGTCCGAAGTCATTTCTTAGAAACCTGTGCAACATGATTAGGTTTCCCTTCTGTCTGCTATAGGACAAGGCAAAGAGGTTCAGCCTCTTAAGTCGATCTTCATAAGTGAGGCCAGCCATCGCAGGGGTCCTACGAGTGGTTGCCTTCTAAACTCTTTCTAGAAGGTCTGCACCACCTTTCAGACAAGGACTACCCACCTGTGTACAGTTTTCTAATTTAGATCTTACCAAGGATGTGCATAAGATGAACATGTCACCACTTGTTTTCGTACGAGATGTGATCATGGTGTACAATATCGTCCACATTCCTCTTCATTTACACCGAGTGATCTATAACCCTAGCCGGAAACATCACTGTAGGGAACATTCTCCGACAGTACTGCATGAGACAACACGTACAACGATCCTCAATAACTCCCTTACAATTAGACTATGTAAATTGGGGAGCTCCCTTAATGCACAAGTTGCCACAGCCCCTTCCCCCTATCCTTTCAGTTGGTCAGGTGCATACTCACAACCCTATGACATAAATGGGCTGCACTCAGGAAACCACTCGTTTTATGGACCATGAGTAGTAGCAGTACCCATAACAGGCTGATCAGTTAATTAATTGATTATCTCTGTTTTTTCAGGTTTTTACGAACGGGGGGAACAATGAAACACTGAAAACATAGTATTTGTTCCATCAAAACAGGTTTAGAACCCATGAACCCATTGTCCAAAGTTTCTATAACACGAAGTTTGATGTTTGAATTAATCTCTTTGCGTCTGCTACTAGGTCTTGCGCGTTTTATAACTGGTCTAGGTCATTTGCCTGTTTGATGACTGGCGACGTATTTTAGGTTATTTTCGTTATGCATTTCTCGCTGTGACGTAAGAATTACATCTGCTTTAAAATTGAAATCTTTAGTGGATGTAAATTTTTGGATGTATGCTAGCAAAGTATGTTGCTATTCGTTCTCTCATGCTGTTGTAAGCTCCATACAACCCTTGTTGATATAGGATAGTGCCGTAATTATCTTCAGACAGAAGACAGCTGTGCTGTACGGAGTTGATAGAACAGCTTTACCTAATGTGAGTGAAACTCACCCGGCGAATACTTCAGCTGTGTGATATATCACACAATAATCCCATTGTAGGATATTCTGCAATTAGGTACAAGAACCTACATTCCAAAAGGAAAAGAGCTATCTTTAAGGTTCCAAGGTTTGTGAAGTGTTTCCAAACGCCCACTAAATCTTCAAAAATCCCGAAATTAAGTGTGCAGTGCACCCTATGTTTACAAATAATGTATAAATTCCGAAATATCAGTCTAGGTGTGACCTATTTCGGTTCACCGGTACAAATTAGTGATTTAATTGATCTGCAACGGTATAATAGTTTTTATAGATTGAAAGTTGAAGGACGAAACGAAGTTTAGGAGGGTGCTCAAAAGTTAGGGTATACTCAAGACATTTTTCGGAAAGTACCCCAGAAAGCTAAAATGTTTATTGGCTGAGAATATGCTAGATATTAACTCGACAGTCTCTACGCTGGTCTGTGTAGTAAATTTAAAACCCTGAGTTGGGGATTCGGGTGTTCTTTAAAATATTTGTACGTTACATTGACTCATTCGCCCCACAGGCTCACAGGAATGTACCCACTATCCTCCGAAGAAATCTCAAAATTCGTAGCCTACTACGACAAAGAAAGTGTTGGGGTCTTGTCAGTAACCTTAGTACTCGCTAGATGAAGAGGCATTACGGAGTAACCGGGATCGAATATATCGCTGCTATCCACCAACCCTAGGTATGCTCAAGTTCAGGAAGACCTCATGAGAAGACTATTTTCGTAGATGAACTACGTGAACAGAATGTACCGTGGTATCATTGCTCTGGTTCTGGAGGCAGAAACTTCGGCTAATTCATTATTAGATTGATGGTGTCTTTGACGTCTCGCAACCCAAGTTTTGTAACGTGGACATCACTTCTAAAAGTTGCTTTCAAGAGTTGATTCTGAGGTGTTCCAACCTTCTAAGAAGGGAAATCGATGATAGGTCAAGTCCAAAGTCGTATCTTAAAATATTTTATAGCATGGATAAGTCTCCTAGCTGTCTGCCATGCGGTGAAAAGACGAAGTTCAGTTCCTGAACTCTCTCTTCGTAGTTTAGACCGCCAATCGCAGGGATACTTTTAGTAGCACGATAAAACCACAACACAAAACTCATTGGGTGAGAGAAATGAACGAATGTTCAAATTTCACAGGTGGTGCTTCTATGGGGTTTGAAAAATAGTCAAGTTTTTAATCATGTGTGTTTACAGCACTGTTTGTTTGTTATGAGACTGTAATAAGCATTTTGGGGACTAGGGACAAAGTATCAGACAACGAGTTAGTCGATCAGTTTATGAGCTTGCATTAATTGAGGTGAATGAGGTATGTTGTGCATATAACGAGTCACCGTCAACGTGTATGTGAACTGTTGACCGGAGCAGGATGATTTCGGTAGAAAGTTGAGAGCACTCGGGAAAACCTTGGACTGGAAGTTTATGACCATTTTTTTGAGCCCTATAGAGAAATGCAGACTGCCTAACTAGAATTCTCGACATTTCAGTTCTCAGTAGTAGTTAAAAAAAGGATTACAACAGCCGTGTGCAGACCTGCACACTAGGCAATGAGCCAGGTATATTGTTTGAGAACTAGAAATACTATCTGGTTGCCTGCACTTCGATATTTGGGGCGGGATTCGAACCATTGACTCACTGACTTAAAGTCAGCTATCTAGACCAGTGAGCCACAGTTTCATGAAATAACGGTTAGATAATTTACATAAAATCGCTCCAAGCCAGTCATTATAGCACAGATGTTTCTCCTTCACCGTGAAAATTTTGAATAACCTTTCTTCACTTAGTCATCCTGCATCAATATACTTTTGTCATCATTGTTCTATCCACTTCCTCTCTGTACTGTTGTAAAGTGTGGCAAACTGAATTGATACATTTCTGAAAATCACTCGATATTATGGGGTATGCGTAATATTATTGCTATTTTCATCATGTTATCTTTCCTCATGACGAATTTTTACTCAACATGTAAAGGAGAAGTGTAGTGAATTGGACCGACACATACTTATAACATGTCCCATGTTGCTTATATCTGTGCCATTTCGACAAAACGTCTCTCAAGATGGTCCTTGTTAGCTGTAATATCATTCAAAAAATGTTTCTGTTGACTACTAGAGTTAAAACTGTAGGATTTTAGCATCATTGGGCGACTATCAAATGCCGTAAACGCTTCAGTAAGAAAACAGCTGCCTTTTCCTAGATTTTAATGCAGAAATGAAAGGACATTACGGTATATACGGTTTCTTTGCGATGTTTTTGAACTTTTCTGGGTTTTCGACTTTTCTTGGCTTGAGGTTAAAGTATATATCAGAATAATATTCATATGTGTGACTACAAAGCATTAAGGCATCTGAACTGTGATACGAGCGTAAATAAGCTTTCAGGTGGTCCCCTATCATCTCTAAATTGTTTGTATGAACCCCGCAAAATTAAAGTTTGGGAATTTAGTATAGATAGGGGGTTTATGCCACTGAGTGCTAGGTAAAGATCAATAGATTTCAGTGCATATAAATTAAAAATAACTAATTACCCAACAAGCAAACAGCAAGTGAGAACTACTCGCTGTTATTTTGCTGGTTTATAGCTTAATGGGTACTATACACCTACTTGGAATAAATGGTGATGTTTAGAGAGTTAAAATAAAGGATTTCATTGGGTTTTAGGGTATTTAACCTGATTCTAATGCATATGCCTGCGGTAACTTTAGGTATAATTTTGTCTTTGATATAAAATGCAGGGACATAAAAAACCCATCAGAATTAGTGAATAGTGAGAGAAATGAATTCCTCCGATTCCAAGTTATTATCCTAAAAACTGTGCGTAAGCTTACCTGTAATAAGCGACATCGTTTCAATAGTTGTGCAGCTGCGGCAGATTGCTTTAGGTGGTTGACTTTCAACCAGTGTCACCGGTTCAAACACCGCCCTATCTACCGAGGTTTGGGTAGCCAGGTAGCACCATTATTCCCCACACAAGTGTGACTCATTGCCTGGTACTGAACGCGTTTCGTTTGTTTGACCATGTCATAATCAGAGGTTCACCTGTCAGACTAGTCTAGATCGCTGATCATTCCACTATAGACCAAAGAAGTTTTATTGTCACAGCCATAAGGTGGTCAGTTTGACTGACATTTCGCCCAAGATCCTAGGGTCCAAGGTTATTCGACGTTCAACCACAGCTCGGGAGTGAGAAGCTCTAGAAAATCAGGCAGGTCTTAGACCTGGTCGTCGACGTGCTGACCGTGTATCCGCTCCCCGACGGGTTCTGGAATACAGGGGTACTTATCGGTGACCGACATTTTTGATGTCTTGAGCTAAAGGCGGCATTCAAGTTTGTTGACCGAGAGGTATTGCGGCAGTGAATGAGTAGAAGATGTAACAAAAAGTATGTGATATTAATCAAGAGTTCCAACTCGAAATCACGTAGCCATGTATGAGATTATGAATTATCGTGTAGTGTTTGCAGCCAGTGGTATCCCCAGGGGGTGCCGGCTGTCGCCGCTTTTGTTTAACCTTCTTGTAGATTTTCTAGTGAACAAAGCTGTAGGTAGCTTATATTCAACACTGATTTACTTACTCTCAAGAGGGTACTTGGCTACCTTACTGAAGCATCGAATCGAATCGAATCGAAATGCTCTCAGCGATCTTGTGCACATTCATAAAACGGATGGTGAGCCATATCTATTGCGTTACTAACTGACTGCCCAGACCTCGTTATACGGGGTGCCGTTTGAGTCAGTTTGCTATTGGTTGCAAGTTAACCACCTAGACCAATAAATCCACATCTAATCCTAACCGATAGATAGATATTTTGTATTATCCCATAGATCGTTATTGAATTTTACTAACACTGATTGCATCTGGTAATAATACATCTATGTTCAATCTGATATGATTGGATGAAGCTTATACTACTTATTTTACTTCCCTAGGCCTTTCCGACGATCAGTTTTGGTGATTTTCATTCAAGGTCAGTATGCATCCACAGGTGGACCTGTGTGCTGATTGTAATGCACCGTATCCACAGTGGGCATCTATCAATAGGGGTGTATTGTTATGTGACGAGTGTAGCTCGATCCACCGACAGTTAGGACGACATATAAGCCAGGTTTGTTCATTTTTGTTGTCACTTTAAATTAATTGAAAAATATAGATCAAGCATCTTAAGAAATCACGTTGGAGGCCGTCACAACTTTCTATGGTACGTTATCTTGCATCTGCAGGAGCCAATGGATATTGGGAACACATATTATTTGAACCCATGCTCAGTGCTTCAAACGTAGATCATCATCGGTCTAGTAAATCATTTCAACCACACAAAAAGCCGCTACCCACAGATCCAGTACACCCAACAAAAGCGGATTTTATACGAGAGAAGTATTTGTTTCTGGGATTTTTTAAGAAACCACGCAATATTAACCAGGATGATTTAAATCAACAACTCCATGCTAGCGTAAGAACTGGCGTTTTAGAAACTAGTTTATACTTGCTTGCACTGGTAAGTGGCTCCCTTTTTTCAATAACTGTTGACCTTTTGTTTATTTAAGCGTGCATGTGTGTTTGCGTGCATCTTTGATCAATTGATTCATTTGAATTGTCACCGAATATCAGAAAATGACGAGTAGTGACTAAAAACACATATACTACGTCCCTGTCTACCGTGAATTAGGATGTTCGTTAAATCAAAAATAGAGTGGTAGAAAAACTGAACTAAGATAGAAATTCGTTGTTTGGAAGTAATCGACAGAAAGCCTGGACCTAAGTTTCGTGCTTTTTGGCACTCGTCAGCAAGGCTTATCTGCGACCGCAACAGAATTGATTTACCACCTGAGATTCGAAACGGAACCACCCAGTGTTCTAGTCAGAGACGTTACCACCAGGCTTTACGAGCAGCCGCTGACTTCCTTTAGGATTGGGTTAAGTATACTGAGCTGGTCAAAACACGGCATCAACTTATGAAGTCTTCTCCCACTGATGTGATTTATTGACTTGTACAATTCACTTTCAGTTTGTGAGCCCCAGATTCAGACTCTACCCTACTCACTTCAACACGCTTTAGTAACTATCACAAGCCCTCACACTTTACATGATTCATATCCCAGTACACACACATGTACTTATTTTCTATTAGTGTGAATCAAAACTGACGAGAATCTGGTGTAAAAGTGCATCAGTTTAGTTTAGCGCACCCAAACACCTGACCGCACCCGACCAATAGCTGCTACCTTGACGTGGTGGTCGGCCTTGCATATCACAATGACCCAACGAGCTATGCTGGTGGAACACTTGTTCCTTCGAGGTCGTACCATACCAGAAAGGTCTGTTGTATAGTGGTTAGACGAAAAGCAGTTACCGTTGTGGTGTAAACTACTACACTATGATGGGGGTTTGAGGGCGAAGTCGTACTGTTGCTAGCTGGATGGGGTGTGACAGCAGTAAAGTGTTTCCCTTGGATTACCAGCAGTGCCATGCTGATGGTGCTGCCTCCTCAGTGGAAGGGGGGGAGTTAGAAAAAGTCAACCCCGAAAATGACATACTCCACCATGCCTCCCGGTCTGCTAGACCGGCGGTATTGGTTCATTTATCGTTTCTTTTCGACCATTCGGCCCCAAAACAAATTGAAAACAACCATAAACATGACAGAGAGAAATTCAAATGACAGGTATCGAATGTTATCGAGATACAAGATGAAACAATTTAAAGTCCATCGAATTAATGTGTTTAAAGTATGATAAAATCTTTTTTGTCATGTCACTCGGGTTGCCTGGCTTTTGACTTAATCTGTAAAAAGACCTCAAATAATTCTCACAAATAACTCCTATCAGCAGTCAATAACTACACAGCTGTGCACTATGTCTTGTTATGTTCACTTTTAGATGTCCTAATCCTTCACGTATTTCGTGGGCATTTCTTTGAACACCACTTATAACTCACATTTAAACCATATCTCTCAATTTAAACCTACACCAGTCGCCAGCTGGTTTAGGTTGCGTATCGAAGATGGTATCTGTCATCTACATATTTTACCCACAGGATCTGTTGCAAGTGTTTTTATGTTCGTATATTCTTTCTACTTTCTAACATTTTGCATATTTGTTTACCAAAATCAGAGCAAGCTGACGTGGTGTACAGTGAGACATTGGGGATAGGGGGAGAATAAATAAGTATTTCATCAATTTCATAAGTATTTTGTTAGCGATGACCCTACTGAGGTTACTACAAATCTGCTCCAAACAATGCCAAATAGTCGTCGATACTAATAATAATTACAAGTTTCTGTATGAACATCCACATTCTGAGGTACAAGTATTCTTTACGACTTCCTAACCAATCAAATAGGTTGAATTATCGAAGCATCCAGCTGTGCATTATAAAACTAGTTTTAGGCAAAACGCAATCACTGGCTGTCAACTTTCATTCGAAAAAGGAATCTCAAAGTATTGTAGTCGAAGGGGAATCGGAACGTACTTATCTACCTTGTGCACATCCATGCAGTTTGCAATAAGCCACACCTATTGTGATGCGGCTAGTGATACTACCTGGATGTCCAAATCTTGATAGGTGGAGCGGGACTCGAACCCGCGACTGCTAGCTTGAATCTTAACCAAAACTATCAAGGATCACTTCATATTATCTTTTATTCATCAACTTTTGCAAAAGATAATTCTAAGCTTGAATAGCCTCATTCTAAAGCCTTCGAAGTTTGAAATAGTGGATGCGAATTCAGATCATAGTTCAGTAGTTACTGGCTAATCTCAACGAATATGGATTATATTCAAGAATTTTTACTCGATGTTTTAAGTTATTTTATACCGAAAAATCATAAACTGTATGCGTCCAATAACAATTTATGATTGAAATTCTTCACAACTAAAAGCTCAAAGGGCATCATAAACCAATTTTGCTTATTTTCAGGTATAATTCTTTTCTATTATGATGACTATAGTATCGATAATTTTGGCTACACTGAGATGTAGCTCCATTAACTTATGAACTCATCCCAACCAATAGGCTCTAGGTTTGATTCCTCCTCTACCTGCTTCGTTTGATTAGTATCAGAAACCTTCACACAAGTGAGATTTATCACTTGGTACATAAACATGTTCTGGGTTAAGTTACGTTTAATTTACTTTTAATATCTGTCCAAGAAATGCAGATTAATGTAAACATTTTTAGGCACTGAAATCAATAATCATTTTGTTATGATGCTCAGTCTCCCCCCGCCCCATACACACATACAAAGGCTTAAAATTTATTTGTTTTTCATCGTTAACAAATCTATCGGATGGCATACCATCTTCTTCTTTTTCTTCTTCGCGATGCTGTTCAGGGTGCCAATCCAAATTTTATTCATCCAACTAAAGGTACAGCGCCTATTCATGTGGCATGTCAATATGGTCAAATTGGTCAAGTGGAATTATTGTTGGCCTACGGAGCAGATGTTTGTATTCGTGATTCATCTGGTAAAACTGTGATAGATGTAGGTTTTTTGTATTAAAAATTAAAAGTGCTCATTTTCATGATATTGTTTTGTATTATTTTATTTATGCTGGAAGATTTCATTGTCTAGTTAGTATATGACTGTTCTATACCACCTTATTGGTGGAAAATAGAAAGAGAAGTTAAGTAGCTTCAAAAGTGGTGTATCTATTTGTTTTAATTAACGGGAATGTGATTGATTGTCTTTATTATCGAACCTTTTAACTGTATTTCAAACAACTAGATCAATCTGGATACATTTCAGATAAGCTCAGTCCCAAATTAGCGAATTAGTTGTTCAATATCGAAATCACTTCGATTCTAACTAGTGAATGTTGATGATTAGCGTAAGTGGTGTGCAGATACTCATGTTATTCACTACCACATAGCGTGTGTCTTTCATACTCTGAATCTTGACCTTATCTTATGATATCAGATAAGTTATATATTGTGTTCAAAATGTTATGATTTTCAAGAGAAACTGCTTTGAAAGTTTGTGAATAGGAATTGATGGTTCGAAAATCCTGTTGATATTGATATATTCTGGTTATATATATAAGCGTAAACTATCGAACAATAACCTTAGTCTTCTTGTAACGACGCTCGTAATCTCCCGTTCCTATAGAGGGTTGGATCGCTCGATCTATCCTGGCAGATAGGCTCCTATGCAGATGCCTGGATACTGCCGGATATTCATGATGTTGTATTGATCTTGGTGACTTGTAGAGGAATCGATGACGCACGCTTCGTCCTGTTTGGGACTTGTTGGCTGGTTGAACCTGCACCCCAGTGGGTGGTGTTGTTCCCACTAAGACTCTAACCCAGTACCCTTCGTTTCCAATGCCAGAGCGTTATCCTCTAAACCAGTGGGGCACGATACCCACCTCTTGTGCAATAGGTGCTAGTTGTTGTGTCGTACCCCACTGGCTTATTGGATAACGCTCTGGTATTGGAAGCGAAGGGTACTAGGTTCGTGCCCTGATGGGAACGTCATTCACTGGGATCCAGATACATCCAACTGGCGAGTTCCAAATAGGACAAAGCGCTTGTCCTCGATTTCTCTGCTAGTCAGTAGGATAAATATAACCTTAGTCTTCGTCTGTAAGTATCCCCCGGCCCCTTGGAAACAGAAAGGAAGCAGCAAAAAGATAAAGGTTTATTGTAAAGTCGAAAAATGTACATAAAATAACGGTATATATATATATATATGCTTTCCTACACCTTTCTAAATATTTAGCCAACTCGAATCTCACACATGTGCTCACGTGGTTTTGGGGAGTGTTCAGCATACTGTGATTGGTTGTGAGGGCTTTCAGGGAGTTCTGGCTTGTTTGAGTAATCTAGGGGGGGGGGTAAATTCACTCTATAACAGATACGGCTCAAAATAGATCACAGTTATGCAAATTTACTCACTCTTTATTATCCTTATAACTTTAAATATCCTATTACTCCGTAATTATTACTCCCTTTCATTCATGAATCTCTAGGTTGTTGGGATTAGCATCTTTGGATTTCTGCTGACTTTCATGTTTTTTTAAGCTGTTACAAGGAGTGTTGCGACTTCAACCAGTGCACCTTTATGTTAGGTTCTATCCGTTCGTTGCTGCTGTTGAATTCGTTTATGGACAAAATATTTCAGTTTTCGATCTTTATCAAGTTGATTAAAGATGAAAAAGTACTTTCAAAGCCTCTGTCATGATTTGAGCTTTGCTTTCAGTTCAGTCATTATTCACTTACATCTATATCAGTTTTCTAACACAAAGTTTTGTCAATTGGTGGTTTTTAGAGACTAACTAGTTTCAAAGTAGTAATGATGTATGGTGGCTAGCAGTGGAATCCAGAACGCACGTTTCGTCCTCCTTGAGACTCGTCAGCCGGATATAAATGTCTCTTAGTAAATGGTGTTGTACCCGCTGAGGCTGGAACCCATCACTTCAAACGCCAAAGCGTTATCCAGTAGGCCAATAAATTATGAGAGCTACGTCTTGTGCAACTAGTATATCTTTGATGTTTATACCTTGTAATTTTCCGTCGTTGTTAGGATCAAATTGATCGGCTACTATTGTCATATGAACTCCCGTGTGCATGTTTCGATATTTTCAGTAATTTCATTTTAATAATAGTTACAGATAGATAAAAACTGTCTGGAGTATCGAAGCATCCGCACCGGACCCCATATGTTATTTGTGTCCGATCAATTTCCGTCCAATCAACGATGACTGCAAATTAATTTTCATCACTGGAATAAAATAGCTGTTCAATGCAACTTGGTTTTCATTGGTCCCCCCCCCCCTCCTACCATGGCTTATGGGGTCATACAAGTCAAGTGTGAAAGCAAATATTCACCGATAGCACTGAGTAATAATAATCACTTTTTACTTTGAATTGAAAACTGTAAAGAAATGTGAACCATTAGATCATAATTTTAAACCAGTGGTTAAATGCGAGAGTACTAATCGCAAGATCTGACAATCCTAGACTCCATTCTTCATGGAGTTATTGATCCACACTGCTAAGGAAGTCTCAAACCAAGGTGAAAAAGCTACCCAGTACTCCCATGTTTTCAGTAGTCCTCTAACTCATATCAGTCTACGGGTGAAAACTAATTTGAAAACAAGGCTATCCTACAGACAGTTTAATCGATTAGAAGTTATTTGTTTTAGTCAAGTCATCTGAAGTCATGAGATTGAAGTTTACTTTCGTGATGGCAAACGTCTACACCACTATTTGTTACAGTTGTAAAATAACATATAAAGAATTGTTTGCTTTTTTTTTATCATCTAGCATTGTAAATATTTCATTGTTTCTGATAGACTATATGTTTATGAAATCATACACAGAGTAATAGTAAATCCGATAATAATAATAGTAATGAATTAGGGTCTTGTGAATTCTAATATTTTACTTACTTATGTTTGAAGGTATCCTGATCAACAATGGACTAGGATGGTTTGAAAAAACTTGGGCACCGAGTTAGTATGATTCATCGTATAAAGTGTATTTTTACTTATGTAATCCCGGCGTAGTATATTAGAATAAATAACAAAATCAACAAATTTGTTCTAATATACTACACCAGGATTGCACAGGTAAAAATACAACTTATAGGATGGATTTTACTTAGTTGATCATTTTTGTTGTGTATAGTCGGTTTATGCTCTGCTCTACGTATGCATCTGTATTTAGATTTAATCTGAAGTGTCATGCCTTCGAGGTTAACAATTCACCTCATTTGTTTGTTTACGTGGTTGTTTGTTTGTTTGTATGCGTGCGTGCGTGCGTGACTTTTTCTTTTGTCGATAGCGAATACTTGTCTTTTAACTTTTTTTCTAATGATGATAGTGGTATGCATTTATGTTAACCCACTGTTGATATGTTTTTCCGACAAACTAATGATATATATATATATATATATATATATATATATATATATATATATATATATATATATATATATATATATATATATATACCCAGCAGTGTGTGGATCAGAATCCGAATCACCCATAACCAAATGTAAGATAATGTCTCAGGGCTGATTTGCAGTTACTCTTAGTTTAAATATAGGGCGATAAAGCGATAGAATGCATTGAATACTTCACATAGTTAAGGAGTTGCACCAAGGCGAATGGATTAGTTGTTGAAGAAATCTCAACTCGGATTCAGAAGCCTCTTTCGACACTTGACAATTTATGTCATCTCTACGGTTGTCAAGATATCTGACAAACTATCAAAGAACGAGCATAATGTACTTCAGTTTGCTTTGACCAACTGTATTGGTATGAAACTCGTTTATTAAAATTAGATAATATGAAGAAGCTCTAGGTCTTTCACCATAGATATCTTCGTAGCATTGCTCACGTATGGTGGAATTACCATGTTGGCAATATTGAGGTTAGCAAAGGAGTACTAAGCAAGGCAGGCAAGTCAATCGATGAGGTTGTGAACCTCATCCCGAGTCACCAACGACCTCTACTTGCGATATTAGCCGAAGTAGGATTGAGTTAAGAGAAAGCCTGGTTTAGCATCTTGTAGACGATAGGAATCAGTAGTTAGAGAACCTAAGTGATATGCATGAAAGTTGATTACAATGGAGTGGATGTTTTTACTCTTTAATGCCTTCTAACGTTTGAACACTTCCACTAACCATTTCTATATAAAACCTTCAAAAACTTATTTTTTAAAATTCTCTATCCTCTGATGTGCTTTTGATGTACTGTGATATTAGTCTTTTCTATCCACTTCTTCTATGTATGCGGCTGTGAAGTATGCCAACCTGAGTTGATGGACTTCTGTGCTAAGTGTTGCGTTGATTGGTCTGTCTGTCTATCTCACCTACGATCTTACTGGTTCGAGGTGAGTCGAGAAATAATAGTAGCTGTGATAATTTGTTTTGTTGTGGCTAACAGGAGAATCCAGGACGCGCATTTCGTCCTACTTGGAACTCGTCAGCTGGATGTACCTGCACCTCAGTGAGTGATGTTGTTCCCACTGAAACACACCTCGTACCCATCGCTTCAAATGCCAAGGCGTTATCCGCTATGCCACTGGGGCACGATGGCCATTTCTTGTACAACGGGTATTAATTGTTACTATTTATTGATATACTCGTTATTCTCTGTTGTTTTATTGCATTGAATTATTCGACCTCTGACGAGTTCCAAATGGGACGAAACGCGCGTCCTGGATTCTTCTGCTAGCCACAATTAAGTAACTTATCATAATTACCATTCAGACAATAACGAGGCATTCGCATAGGAGCCCATATGTCAACAGAGGTCGAACAATTCGATCCAATAAAACAACAGAGAATAACAAGTAGATCAATAGATAGTAATAGTAGTTATATCACATAATCGGAGTGTTAAATGTTGAATCTTAATGACATATCCTTACAGACGAAACTGGAACAAAAGTGGCATATAAGGATGTTAGTGTTAATTTTAAAAATTCCTGCTGATTACGTAGTTGTTTGATATATAATTTCAAGCCAGTAGATAT